AATTATTGTTTTAAAAAAAGAGTTTGACGACTGAAAGGTTACACAAAAGAAGAAGCTATGAAAAACTTCAATCAGATCGAAAGAGTCTATCGAATGATGTATAATAAATTGAAAAAATCGACTGAAAACATTCATTTCCAGGCGGATATATACGTATATCCCATACCATACCAATTAAAAAAGGAAAAGCAAGAATTGTTTTGTAGAGGAATAAAAGTAAAAACTGTGTCTATCGTCTAAAAAGTCTATCGAATGATGTATAATAAATTGAAAAAAAATTTTGTTCAACTTTTGTATTACGCGCATCTTGTATATAAAAATATATTTTTCGAAAAGTAATTATATATTCAGAAAGCGCTCGGAATTTTCTATCACCCTGTATATTTATGTCTTGACTTTCACTTATTTGCTGAAAAATATTTCGGGTATAATGAAGACACCCTCCCTCATTGTCGGATTCACACGAACTGCATTTTTTTATTCCTGTACTTCGCCAGCCTTGACTTGGAATTATTTGCTGACAAATATTTGGAATATATACCCACGTATCACATTCCCATAGATCACATTCCATGCTTCTTCTTCTAACTCTTCTTTTTTTACAAACCACGAGATAGAGCCCATTCAAAAGTACAAAAAGAACTGAGTTCTCACTCTCGCAACCCTTTTTTACGGAAATAATAGCAGACGATAAATGATTTAAGTGGAAAAAAATACCAGATTTTCAGAGTTTTCATGTTTTTCGTGTAATCTGCGTTGTTCTCTTGATTGACGTTCTGAAATTAAAATTTAGATATGGTTTTGTAGAGTATTTTGCGGCGCATCTCTTTAGGAAAAACTTTAACCTTTGGGTCCCAAAGAAATATGAGAAAAATAGAAAATACTGAGAGGCTGCACACGTTACAATTCCTGGGAATGTGATACACTCTTAACAAAATATGTTCTTCAGTTTTTCAAAGAACTGAAAAGTCAACAGAAATTTGGTTCTTCGTTTGTCCCAAATAGAGAACTCAAATTCTGTCCTTCAGCTATCAAGAACTCAAAATTTGTTCTTCAGTTTTTAAAAAATGATTTTTTTCGTTCTTTGAAAAATTGAAAAACAAATTTAGAGTTATTGAGAGCTGAAGAACAGAATTTGAGTTCTCTATTTGGAACAAACGAAGAACAAAATTTCTGTTGACTTTTCAGTTCTTTCCCCCCGAAGAGATTCTTCGTTTTTAAAAACTAGCCCTATGGGAAACTCTTAGATTTAATACGATCGGGACATTTGAGAAACGTTTAAAGGTAAAACGTGAGGGTTCTGATAAATTCTTAATTTTAGTAAAGTAATATTTTCTTATGTGGATATAGATTGTATGTTTTATAACATTTCGGTAACCATGACCAAGTACATTAATGGACTTGCTGAGAACAGCCGCTATTTGTTCTGTGTACATACCATGTGTACCTCTTAACCGTAGATTGTTTTGTTTACCGGAGCAGTTCGTATTATAGGTTATAAACTGAGCTTTTTCTTCTTTTCCCAATCGTTGCCTTCCACCACATTGATATCCGTTTATGTCTTATAAGCATAAATCATTACATTATGTTTGGCATGTTTGTATGTTTAAAAGCGGGTTTGCAATATATTTTCTTCAACTGCATCGACGCATATAGTGCTTGCTTCATAAAGATAATAATGTATTACTCATACAGTAATTAGCTACTGCTATATCTCACGAACTGTTAGAGAAGTTACACATTTTAGTCCCATAACGAAGCTACGTCAAGCTTTTAATTCAAAAATTGTATGAGAAGAATAGTTGTCAAAGAAAACAGAAAAAAACAGATAGATTAACATGATTAAGCACTTCGGAAAGGCTTTAAAAGTGCAGTAAGAGGGTTTTTTCAGTACTCAATTATTTTATACAACATGCACACCATTTTCCAGTAATCGATTTGAACTTGACTTTTCCATGAGTTGATAATTTTTAGTGGTTTTTTAATAAACAGAGAAAGATATAAATTTTTATCTGTTTTTTAAACAAAAGTGATTTAAAATACTCCAGAATGTATTTCAACTTCAAATAAAGGATATTATACGTTATAATTTCAGAGTCGTTCTACTGGCCAATTAATTTATGAGTTTTCTAAGTGATTTTTTGACAAATTATCGAATACTCTCTAAATACTGTATTTTCCAATCCAGCATCAACAACACACAAAAAAATCTAAAAAACCCTAAAAATCAACTCTATTAAATCAGTTCATTCAACTACCAGTTATATGGCTAGTTTAATTGATGTATTCATTTACACTGACTCTCTGGATACATTTTCATATATTACTGATGTTTTTAACGAACTTGTTCAATATGACTGTTATATTAAAATTATATTATGTTCGCATCACAATGTCTATACCATACCATACGTAGATTGCATTCAGCTAAAAAAGAATAGTTTCATACAATCACCATAAAAAATTCGTCTTTTTTATCATTTCATTCAAATACTTCTCAATTTTATTAATCAATTAGACGTTTTCCTACTTTGATCGTTGTCAATGGGCTAAGATATTAGTGAAGTAGTTCATCCATTTGATGGATAAAACTGTTCTAATATAAATTGGGATAATTGAACCTCCTCCATCCTAAAAATTGATAATAATTTCTTTTTTTTGTCCATCTAATCAAATTTTAGACGAAACAATGTAAGTCAATGTTAAATCTTAAAATGAATGTCTTTCACTCTCTTTCTTTTTTTATCTAGTAAAGAAAATATATAACATCGAAAATGACTATAAGATCTAATGAAATTTTCATGTTATATTTCAAAAAGAAGAAACAAGAAAAATTCCCAGAAAAACAGATTATCTTTCTTTTTTTTGCTTTTATCACGTTCTTTTTTTCTCGTGATTAATTGATATTGAAAAATATTATGTATACCCCCTCCTCCTTTCCACGCATATACACTATACCATCATTTATTGCTCTTGAAAATGCCTTAGGTCAATATGATCATTAGACTAATAATATTCACAAAACAAAAAACAGATTTTATTTTTTGCCGTTGACAATAAATTTTTTCTATCTCTTTTTTTTTCTTGTCATTCTCCATATTGAACACATTCAACGTAAGTATTAAGAAAAATTTTTGAGACATATATCGATTGACAACTATTATATTTAGTATTTTATTTTGAATAAATACTTTTACATTTACACTAAGAATGACTTCACGATGGTCATTATTATCTTTATTGTTATTCATTTTATTTAATATTATTCAAACGAGTCCAGTTATAGTAAGTGATGGTAATGATCCAGATAGTATAGATCAATTAATAACAACAATCGATGGTAACGATAATAATATTTTTGGTAATGATGATGCCAATTTATCATATCAGCAAAAAGACACTACACATCTAATTAAAAATATTATGCAAGAAACCAATCCAATTTTACAAAATTTATTATTAAATCAACTACGTGAAGAATTAAATCATATGTGTGTCGAAGGACATTTTGGACCAATGATAACTGAATCCTGTAAACGTATTTTGAATCATCTTAATCAACAGCCACCATTAATTAGAAATAAACAACAACATAATTATCAAAATAAACAACAACATAATAGTGATGACGTTTATTCAACAGACAATACCAGACAATTAAAAAAACGATTTTTTTGCAATGGTTTCATTGGATGTAAAAGTGGACGCTAAACAAAAACAAAACAATAAAGAAAGAAAATTTTTATACGATGGTGCATTTCATTCTAATTTTATAAGATGAATGATTTAAAATTTATCATGTTTGATGGAAATGGAAGAACGTTGTAGTGTGATTGTATCGTTGGTTTATTTTATCATGTTAGAATTTAATAAAAGAGAATAAATACATAAAAAAATATATTTATTAAATCAAGAAGATCTATTGAATGATATCTTTCTTTTTGATGACTAAATCTAGTAGTCTAGTTGCTTCTCGAATACCACTACGATGTGCACCATGAACAGTTGAAAACCATTTTGTATGGGTTGCTTCACCCGCAAAACATACATGAGCAATACCCTAGATAAACAATTTATTATCATTCTAAATTAGTATTTTATTATAAATATGCAATATACTTACATCCGGCGTATAATATTCTGACAAAATTTCCATATCTTTCAATGTAGAACGAATTGTGAAATAAGAGTAGGATCCTCGTATAAAACGATTATTAAACCATTGAGTTCTAAATAGTAACAAAAAAAAATAAATATGTCATACTGATTTTATTCGATATCTAATATACCTAATAACTTGTTTTGGTCTAGTTTTATTAACTATATCAGTTGATAAATTCAAAAAGTTGCATAGAATATCATGACAAATATGACCAACTATTTCTTCCGAAAGATTTTCGGCAATCAGAGCAGCCTCACCACCAAGCCAACATACGATAGCATTTAAGGAACCGTATAATACTTCATAACTATGAATATTTGCTAAAAAATTTTCAATCTATTAATATTAACAAAAACAATGAAGTATAAAAAGAAAGGAACAAATTTAATGATAATGCTAACCGAATTCAAATTTATGCCAATCGAATGTAAATATTTTTCTTGTTCATTTGAAAGTTTTTTGTTATTATTCGTCCATAATACATTGATAAAATTCACATTATCCGGCCAAAATTTGTGCTCATAAATCATTATTATCTACAGAATAAAATATTTTCTTCCACTATTTTTCCTTCACTATATTCTTATCCTCTACCTTGTTCACAGTTCCAAAACCCAAATTTTTAATAGCATTCATTTTCATAGAAATGAGATTTGGTTCAGTTGAAAATATTTTTTCAAAGTTTTCTTTCAAAAAACCCAATGATGTTGTCCAAATTACATGATTACACAATATATTTTTATTATCTTTCATACAAACGAGTAACTGATGAGAATCATTCACACATTTGACTTGTGTAACTTCTGTTGACAGTAAAACTTTTTCGTCCGGTATTGATTGTTTTAAATATTCAATAAATGGACGATAGCTACTTTTTAATCGAATACTTTCATCTCCTTCTAAATATTCAAATCTACCATATTCTAAATATAGACGCATGATTATTAGTCATGTTCGTGTTATCCTTGTAAAGATGAATCAGTTTTTACCATAAAGACTTAAATCATTTAAATCTTGACATCCATTATCGATCTTTTCACCTTGTATTAGCCATTCAATTAATCCATCAAGAATATTATCAAATTCAGTCTGTAGTTGTAGTACTGTAATATAATCTCCAATATTGTTTAATAGTTTTTGTTTACATTGTTCTTTTATATAGTGATAGAGAGATGTATTATTGTGTTCTGATTCATGTATTCTTTGAGCATAACCGCAAGCAGCATCTAATACTTGTTCGAAAACATCTTCTACATATTGAACCAGTTTTGAATCGAGAACTCTTCCATCTGATGCTATGAAGAGACTCTCTGTAAAAGAAAAAAGATCGTGATGAATCGATCACATTTCTCACCGCATAAATTGAAGAAGTAATAAACTGAAGATATTTGTAGACGATATGAAACAAAATATCTTATGACTACTTCATTCAATTGACGAAATGAACGTACCAGTCTGACTTTCTTCTACCATACAATCTAATTGTTTACATATCTCGTACACTGGATTATTCTTTTCTCCATGAACATATTGAGCACCAAGATCAATGTTTTGAGCTAAAACAAGCTATATTCACGATAAAATGAACATCGAGTAACACCATCGAGTAGATGAGCATAAACGGATTTATACGTCAACTGATCTTCTAACTGTGCGGAAGTGCAAAAGAATCTTTTCAATTATTTTTCTTCATGATATATTACAATTTTTACGTTTTGGATACAATCAAACTTACATGTATTGCAATTGATATATTTCACACGTCCTCCTATTCGATCTTGCGCTTCTATCAATAAATAACTGAGAAAATTGTTGTCAGACAAATATTTGGCTGCCGATAAACCAGCTACTGAACCAGTTCACATACGACGAAGTCTCTGATACCCATAATGTGAAACGAGCAGTACCTTTATCAAACTGCTATTAGGTATTTGCACAACCTCTCACCAGCGCCCACAATTACAATATCGACACTCATATAGATGCTGTTATCTTCTGAAAATCTGTAATTTATTAAGCAAGTAAGGACTGACGAATTAAATAAGTTAGAAACCACACAAATAAAGGCATTGAAATGCAATGCCAAACTTTACGATATAACTTGACAAACAATAAGGTGTATTACATGGATTAAAAAAGTATTTAAAAAGTATGATAAAATAGAAAAGAAAACGTCGAACTTTTTCTGTTCTGATAAATAATGTTTTGACGTCTTGTTTCTTTGCTTGAAGAGCGATATCATTGCCAAAAACAGTTTGATACCAACAAGATATAGTTTGTCTGTATCTTTATTGATTCCTAATAAAAAGACCAACGGTCAAATGACTATTGTAGGCCTAGGCAAGATATAACTCTTTGAAGAAATTTATTATCATAGTCCTGGCATGTTAAAAGGTGAAAAATTCAGTTTTAAAAATTTTTCATGGTTTATCAGCCTAATAACAATTTTAAAATCAAGTGGAGATTGTGACATAAGGAACAGATATATTTTGATAAAAACCAAATGAGTGTGCTGCTGACACTTGATTCTTCCATTAACAATCGGACTAAAGTCATACAGTTTGTACGTAATGTAGATGTGATATTTATAGATGTTCGAAAATTCTTCAACAATAACAATTTTTCGAAGATTTAAGAGAATGTCCCTTCGCCATTAGCAGTAAAAAGTTTCGAGAATCTCTGGAAATTTCTAGAATTCTCGGAATGCGACCTCTTCAAACAATGATACTGTTTAGAATTCTGAAAAATCCAAGTAGAATTCAGCAACTCGCTGTTATACACGAATTCTGCACAGTTTTGGCAGAAGTAAACCAGAATCTGCCAGTTTGTAGAGGAAACATTTTACGGTCCGATTCGAACTCATTATTTGAAGAATGTCGCTTACAGTTTATGATAATGTTTTGTCTAGAGGGAAACTTGAAGCTAAAGATCAAAATCAACGTTTTCTTTTACTATGAGTTTTCACCTTTAAATCTCAACCTTCTTTTTACTTTTCCATACTTATTTTCAAACACGTTTAATGTATGGATGATTTTCTACTAGGTTAACTCTTACTTTATTAAGTACGAGGTATTTTTATCCCATTCAACAATACATCAGTTAATGTCCTACATTTAAACTTTAAAAAAACCAAACAACAGAAATATAAAAGACGATTTTTCTAAAATTTTAACGATTGAAATATTATTACAACGGAAAGAGTAAAGGTGTCAAATCCACGAATATCACAGTTAATATAAGAGATTCAAAACTATTTTTATCCAGACTTAGATATTCCACGTTCAAGAATATTTAACATAACTGGATAAACAGATGCAAACTCTTTCTGTTGACGATTTCGAACATTTTGAACGTATGTTTCGAGTGTTCCTTTGATCATAGCTAAACGATCTGACATGTTTGGATGTTCATCGAGCCACGAACAATATCGACTTATTGACCAACCCATAACTTGATGTGGTGAACGCATTTCAGTTGGAGCTTTTGAAAATAAATGATGTAAAACCGTATCATATGGTATAATATCCCCCACAGCTGAATTTGTTAACATCGACTCAGATGTTAAAAACAAAAACGGTCTAAACAAATCAGTAAAAGATCATGAAAATAATTATCTCATTATAAATCTTTATACCTTACCTGAAAGCACGTAACATTTTATAATGTCTTCCAAGATCTGCTAATCGTCGACAAAATGGTGAGAGTGCTAGTTCAATTTGGGCAAAATCGGCTGCTAGACGCAGTTTTCCAGCTTCACCTAACGGTCGAACGAGACTTGCATGTTGAACAAATAATGCCATCGCTCGACAAGCAATTGGAGAAAGACTAAAAAAAAACGGATAATTTAGTCACTGATTTCGGTAATAAGAAGATAACTTACTTTTCATACATAAAATCTTTACATTGAAATTCCGTAAAATAATCTTTTTGTATTCGTAATATAAATTCTTGTAATTCTTTCATATATAATGAACATTGTGATTCAGATCGATTTGATATCGTTCTTAGAAGAAAAATAAATAAGTTTAATTCACGTTTATTTGCGAAAAGCCTGTCAGCGTTGCCTTACTGGGTAAAAAATGTGAAAACTTGTACTTTTAACACGTTCACCGTCCAACAACAATTAAAGAACGGTTAAATGAATCAGATATGATACATGGGCAGTGAACATGTTAATTTCTCAAATACTTAAAATATCTATTAATTGCAATCACGCAATGAAGTTAAAACCCGTTAAATGGAAACTATGCTTAAACTTTCGTTTCTATTTTAGTTCTTAATAAAATGGAGATAAATCAGAAATAAAATGAATATTTTTTTTTCTTTTACTAAACGGGAAAAAAGAATAACAGAAATACTGAACCTCTTCGTTGCGTAATCTCAAACCAAAAGTAGTATATAGAGCTAAGAGAACATGTCCGAATGAACATAATATATACATGTATGTATATATTATTTCATTCGTTCGTCCAACTGCCCATCGATACATCTGTCCGTCCGTCAGGGAGGGGGGAAATATGTGCACCAGAAATTGCATTTTTCATAGTAACCCAGCAAAAACTCTCTTTAAAACTTAAAACTTTCTTGTTCTTTCTAATGGAAGAAAAGCCTGTAAGTTTTCACAAAAGCAAGTACCACTTACTGCGAAAAATCTTCGTTGTGCATCGTAACCAGAATAGCCTCAATACAATCCGCTACTGAATTTAAAAATGGATGAATAGCCGTATTCATTAATGAATTAACGCACTAAGCACAAATATACAAATAAACAAAATGAACTAAAATTTTAAAGAGTAATAAGAACCTGTAGTGCATCGGAGATATGCGTAATAGCTGTTGTTGATAAGTTGGATTGTTCATTCAACATCTATAACAAAAATAAAAGAGTATAGATGAATCACACAATATATCTAAACTCGCATACCTTATTGATCATACAACAAAAATTATAAAGAATATTAATGGCAGATATATTCCGAATTTGTGCCGGTGTTGGAGCTGAAACAACTTGACTGCCTTCGCTATCTGTACAAACCGATTGTTCACATTTATTAGCAAATAATTGTATTGCTTTAGCAACATTTCTTGCAACTTTGTTAACTAATGTATCACTAACTGTTATTACAGATAATTCACTAAAAATTAAAAAATAAACTACTATTTTTATTTTTAAACTAAAATTATAATAGAACAACTTACTTAACAATTGCTTTTACAATATTATCCAATTCTTGCTGTGTTGGTAAATTTTTTTGATTACCACTCAAAGCTAAATTAATTGGATCCGATAATCGTGATAATGAAATAGATAAATAACTTTTTTCAAATATTTCAAAACAAGAATTCAATTGATCATTTGTTCTAAAATAAACATAATAGAATTGAAGGTAACGAACTATACGAGAAATATTTACTTTATATGGTCATTAAATTCTTGATCATTAATAGCGATTTCAGTATCACTGAAACCTGGCTGTAATTGATTCAAACGATTGATTAAATCGTTTTGAATTCGAAGTAATTTTGGATATTCACTTTCAAATGCTTGACGCAAATGAGTTGATTCTTAAGAAAATAGTTCATATTCAAAATATTAATGCTTCTCTTAGTTTCGCCTTGTCTAACATACCTGCGACAGATGTTCGTATTTGATTTTTAAGTGATACCATTGAACTTAACCAAAATTTACTCACTAAATCACCTGAATGTCCGTCCTACAAACAAACAAACAAATATCCTGATCTATGCACAGACGAACGCAAAGACATCCAAAAGCAGAGATGAACAAGTGCAAGTTATGACTTCAGTTCCATGACTTGACACAAAAGCCTCAGTGAAATTGATAAATTGACTCGAGTCACTTTCGAGTTAGTTATATGAAACTTTTTTTTATTATGAGTATATTTTTCTTATATTTGTTATACACCAGAATAGAAAGAGAAATTTGAGAATATTACAAGAATCTTTCCTCAAATGACAACAATTAGACACGTAGCAAATGTTCAATATAATGAGTGCAATGCATGTTTAAAGTTATTTTTCGAAAAATGAATGGGTGAAAATTTTAACTTTAGAAAATGACTCGAGTCAGTGTTTCATGCGATTTGGACTCGAAAGAGTGATAACTCGCCTATCTCTATTTAAAAGTTACTTTGATTAATCCCTCCATGAAATTTGTATGTGTAACAGGATCTTTTTTCTTTATTAACACTCGTTGTAAATTATACACTTGTGCCATGTAAACATAAAGCAGATCAAGAATTTTTTCAACATTTGTCCATAGTACAGCACGATGATGTGCAGTATTTCCTACAACTGGCATAGTTGTTCGTCCTGGATTTGTTGCTAAACAATAAACGTACACTCTTTATTTATTCTTGTTAACTAAAATAGTATGCTCGAAAACGGTTCAGATTTATCGTATTTTATTTTTTTCAGACTCATTAAAACTAATACAACTAGTACCTTAAACCCTTGAAGAACACAAGAATATTTGGAATAATAATGTACGATGAACTCGTTGTACACTTACGATCTTTGGTTTTAAACAAATTTTTAAGATCAAAATAATCATTTATTTGCGTTTGATATTCATTTTGTAAACGTTCTTCTGTTTTATGTACGTGATCATATAAATTACCTAAATTGAAAAATACTTGTAATGCCGTACCAATTTGAGCTGGATTCTAAAAATTATGAAAAAGAAAAATGAAAAGTATTCAAAAAAAAACAAAGGAAATAGTTTTATTTCTCTACCAAATGATTCAATCCATTTTCTAAAACTTCTTGTGCTTGTTTTTGTACATCATGTCGAGCTTTAAATATAAATTGTAAATCTTTTTCAACGGCTTCAATACCGGTAAAATCCATATCTGTTGTAAAATGATCTAGATAATCAAATAGGATACGTATTTTCTCAGGCTTATTGTAATCAGATTATTTCCGTACATGCCTAATTCATTTAGACATTGAGCAGCTTTAATTAATTCTACTTGTGTTGATGACATAAATGATTGTAGTTTTTTTGATTGCTGCATAATGCCTTTAATACGACGTAAAAGATCACATGTATACTGAAAAATAAAAAACAATAACAAAAATCAAGTGTATAACAGAGAGAATAAGATTAGTAAAAACCTGTAATCTCGCTAGTTGTCTTTTTCGTAGCAATATTTTATTATAGGGTTCAGTGATTTTTGTCGATATTCTAAAAATTGAGATGATAAAAACGATAGATAAAAAAAAATCGAAGATCAAAATAAATTCTTACCGTTCGACTGTTGATTTTAGTGAAACAATTCGAGACTGCATATTTTCTAGTACATCTTCTAATGTTCCAATATTGGCTGCTTGTGCTATCAAATCTTTATCATGCGATGAAACCTATAAGAAAAAATTATCTAATAAAAATCAATTTATTAAGTCTATAATTTCTAGTACCTGTTGTTTGATTTCGCTATCAAGTGATTTGATCAAATCATTTAAATAAGCTAAATAATCTGTGACAAGTTTTGTTTGTAGAATAGTAGCAGAAAATGATTTAATATCAAATTCTTGACCAATAAAATCTTTGAAAGCTTCTAAAAAAATTTGAATTACACTTCGCATTACTATTCTATTTTGATAAACTGTAGAATAAATACCGTCATTCAGTATTGCACATTCCATTATTTTAATTTCTAGTATTCGATCTAAAATTAGATGTACATACAATCTCAAACCAGCATAAGAAATAATGAGTAACTTAAGAATTCTTTATTTTTCATTCGAATGAAACGAGTTAAACAAAAGTTCTTTAGAATTCTTCTGAGAACGGATAAAAATTTTTAACCAATTTGTCTTCGCTTTTTGTTTTTTAAATCAAAACTATTTTGTTTATTTTATTTGTTTTGTTTTTAACAACGATGTAAGATATAGAAAGACTTAATTGAAATTCTAATCAATACAACGAGGCACGGAAAAATCGGCTACCGTTCAGAAATCGTTGTTTTATTTTAGTAGAAAAATCTCGTACTTTTAGTATTCAACAGTGATCTTAGAAGGACGTTTTTTTTTAATTGAATTTTTCGCCTTTTCTTCTTCAAAAAAAATGTAAGCAATTTATAATTGATCTTTACAAAAAGAAAACAACAAGAACAACAAAAAGAGAAAGAGAACAGAACAAATAAAGGGAAACATTTTTGACAGAAAAAAAAAAAAAAACTTTAAGAAACAAGAAAACCTAAAGTACAAATATTTACCGTTTACTTTTTTTCTTATTCATTTATTTAGTCATCATCATCATAAAAATTGTATGTTGGTGTAAGCAAAAACGAAAAAACAAGACTAAGAAAACTGGTAGAAAAAAAAATATCAAATATGGATGATACAAAACTGAATTCTGTTCAAACGAGATCGTTGCATGCGTTGAATTCACAGATTAGAATCTAAACATTTAAAATATGCTTGTTTGTCGATTTTTATTCAATCAAATTTGAAATTGTAGATGACGGAGAAGCAATATCATTATTTGTATCCATTGATGGTGGCGATGAAGACGTTCGAAGTCTTGTACCATTATTATTAACTAATTCATCATCGATTGCTTCCTACAAAGAAATAGATAAACAGTTAATAGTAACAAATTAGACTTTGTGTTTATAGAAAAAATGAGTGAAAAATACTGTGTTTAAACATATCACATACTTCACATATATTAATTAAAATTTCACAATCGCTTTATTAGTCATTTAAATTGAAATTATACGCAATGATTCTTGTAAAAAAACAACACAAAGCACAAACGCGTACATAAGAAGAATAGAAAGCATGTGTTGAAATACTATATAATATCTCGAATACTCTCGAAATAAACGTATACTGTAACTTAACTGTTTTATTTTATTCAACAAAAATGGAAGACAGAATAAAACCATTCGGTTATTTTAAAACAAAAAACAGAATGTATACTGTTTTCTTTGAGCAAAAATCGTTAGTGATCGATTTCGTTTGCATGTTGTCTAATTTTCTTCATATCATTATTAAATACAATTTCATGGTGGAATCATCTTTGTCTATCGACGTTCTCCCTTTGGCTGATTCACACCACTACCGTTTCCAGTATGCCTTCAATTTCAGAGAGGAAAATATGTTGACGATTGGAAAACAGATGAACATAACAAAAAATAAAAAATAAAAAACAAAAAGCAAAAAAAGTCAAATAATCCTTTTTGTAAAAGTGATGGTTTAGTTTACTAGAATGTGCTCGTGAAGTTACTTTTGAATTTTTGCACATTTTTACACAAAACTGACAAAAGACGAATATACTCACAAGTGCGTATTAATAGCATTACAACTCATTTAATATGCCATTTGTTTAAGAGGTACAACAGAAAACGAGCAAGTATAGCGTTAAATAAAGAGCAAACTAGTGTGGCGATTTGTGTAAAAGAGAAAAGAGGAAAAAAAAATTACCGTTGCCCGGAGATTGGGATATGTGATTGCTGTAGCGCACTATAAAAGGAAGAAAATAATCGTTCACAGTATGAACTTCAGAATCATATGGCAGACGAATCAAAAAAAAAAACCTAGCAAAAAAACTAGTCAAAATAGTACGTTAAGGTGTCTTAAAAAAATATATCCGAAAACTAGTTTACCTGGAATAAAAATAGATGAACAGACATAGCAACAAAATCTTTACATGGACAATTGGTCAGGAGAGACAAAAAGTTCTCGACTTGGGAGAAAGAAGCAGTAAAGTTGTCCAATACATGCATTTGAGAAAAAATAAAAATATAATAGCAAGATACACGCAGTAGATGTAAAAATTGTTCATACATCCGATGATGAACTCAAAAATGACGGAAATATCCATTTATATTTGAGATATAAATATGGAATTAACGTAGTTTCTAAGCTAAATTTCTCAGTTACGTTCTGATCTACTAGAAAAATGTCTAATGAGTTTACTTCTCTAGAAAAATGTATATGAACAGTTTTGACATCTGCTGTAAATCAACTAAATAATTAAGACTATGACGAAGTTGTGACAAAATCAATTAATACTATCGAATAAACTTCTTTCACTTAATTAAGATTACACAAATAAAAAAAACGGCAAAAGACTGTAATGTAAAATGACAAGTCAGCTTAGCATATAGTCAAAGTCAAACTCAGCTTCTATTAACAGGATCATTAAGAAAGATGTTTTTCAAATGGAGCGTGGAATAACTATATCTAGCACTTCTGATAAAACAAAATATTAACAATCATTCTTAATTTCAAATAGAGACGTAATTTTTATTGATATACGAGAAAAACCGAGACGGCATGACGTCTAAGCACATACACACACAACCAGCCACTTACACACTCAAAGAGAGCAAAACAATGAATAATGAATAGAAAAAGAAAGTATGCAACATGAATTGTTAACAAAATGAGTAAAACCGCAAAAATTGCTCTCCATGTGTTGCTGTGTATGTGTGTTTGTACGCGCGCGCATATGTGCGTAGTTGTGCAGAAAATAAAAATATTATTATATAAATTATAGCACGCTGTGCACAGGTTAAATATAGCGCAAAAGGAAAAAAATACCGTGCTGTCGGATGATTCTGTGACACGGTTTGACGAGACTAAAAGTTTTTCATTACAAAATATTATCATACGCTCTCCACTCCCGAAACAATAATCATAATACTTCAAAAACTGCCAAAGGAACGAGACTGCATTGACTACATACCGGCACTGTATTCCGTTGAACATTTTGTGCATTCTGTTCTATTGCATATTGTTGTTCAAATACATAACGTCTAAAATTGAAGGACAATAAAATAACTAACACAAAAGATTCAAATAAATTTACTTCGAGATAAACCCTCCTGATGCGGGTAATGCCTCACGATTTGCTGCTGTTTCATTCAAAGATGTTACAACTTGTTGCCAAAGACTATCTAAATTTTGTTTTTGTACTTTATGATACAACTCTAAAAATTCAACAAAAAACTGTACACATATCCCAGACAAAAAACAAATCGAAGACATACCAGTTGTCTTTTGCCGTATATTTTCATCTAAAATGTGGTCCTTATTTTGCATTTCAGGATTTGGTGTTGGTGCATTTTTAAACGCGATAATAATCACACTCATGTTGTCTTTACTACCCTAGAAGCAGAAATAGACAAATAAAACATTTTTTAAAATTGTAGTCTTTTAAACATTCATGCTATTCTTTGCAAACATTCTTGAGACAGCAAAAACTCTTGAACACCAAGATATTGTTCTATTCATTCAAACACATACTTTATACAAACACATATCGAGCACTTGATTACAAATACTTTCTAAATCGTCTGTAACATGCATTCGTCCGAGGATATATGCACCTAATTCTTCATTTGTTATAACATCCCAAATACCGTCACAAGCCAAAACGATAAAAGCTGGTTGTTCATCTTGTTGTGAATTTTGATGTTTATTTGTGCCGGTTTTCGATTCTTGACCTGCCGGTAGGCTCCGTACATATTGTGTAATTTCTGGTTCTGGTGATACTAACTGTTGTTCTGGACGACGACTACTGTTGTTTTTATATTCAAAATCACCTAAAAACCAGACATCAGATTTACGGTTTTTGATCAACAAAAATGAAATATTCTAATACGATGTTTTCGAGCTGATGATAAATTAGGAGATTTAAACTTAGAATAACTACGTTTTACGCGATTTTTTGATTCTGTTTTTAATGAATAGAGTCAACAAGGTATTTATATTATTTGTAAAAGATGTTCATACCTAACGCTCTGGAAACAGCTAATGAACCATTCACACGTTGAATTAGCACGGTACCGCCAGCTTCTGTAATCCTTTGTCTCTCCGCATGATCACCTAAATAAGATGTTTATGGATGATATGTCGAAATAACAGATCTATGATAGCTGACTTGGTTTATGATCTTTCGTCGCCATTAGTATTCGACCATCTGTTGAAACAAGAATTGCTCGGGAATCCCCCACATTTAAAAAATATATTCTTTCAGGATCAATCAGACATGAAATAGCCGTTGATCCGCTTTTGTCCTCTTTAAATAAATAAAAATTGTTTTTTCATGAGTGTCTATCGTTTTCAATATTTTGCATACCTGACGATTGATTACGTAATTCATCTCGTAATTCGGCATCAAATTTATAATAAGCATCTTTAATTGCAGCTTCGAATTTGAGAAAATCGAACTGTGATGATGTCACATAAGGTTGTTGGTTATTATGTGCGCTGCCAGAGGCTTTTGAATGTTCTAGATTTATCATATTATTCAATGACTGCAATATTCTGGTATGTAAACGTTGCGCTCCAAGTATGGCAACGTTCTTTCCCGCATGGCCATCAAAAATTCCAAAATAAGACCAGCGTGACTAAAAATACAAAGGATATCCATTATTGATCTACCATTATAATCTTGATTAATAAATGACTCAATACTCACCCATCGGTTATCATCTAATCTTAAAATTGCTCCATGTGCATCTAAGAGAGATCAACAATTTGTAAAACAGGAAGCATTTTTATCACAAGTAATCGATTACCTTCCATATCCGCTCTCCACCCTTGCATATGAGATAATCCATAGCGTACATCGTCATTTTTTCCTTTTTCAGGACTTTTTTCAACTTTTGGTTTCTCCAAAAATTGTCCCATTGGCCTAAAATGGAAAAGAAACAAAGTAATTTTAAAATCTTTTATTAAAACTTTAAGAGACAAATAATACGCTTTTGAACCAATAAAACACCAACCTTGTAATTATCTCTATTTTTAGTTTTTCAGGTAAAGAAGGTGTTCGTCCATGATTGAGAAGTGAACGAAAGAAAAACGAAACAAAATCATAAACACGACGACAGTTTTCATATAGACTATCATTCATTATAAACCAAACAAATCATTTGTAATCAAGTCATCTACAGTTTACAATAACCATTCTTAGTGGAATGATGCCAATAGTTAATTACCAATTGTTAACAATTTTCGTATCATCAAATATTTCTCACTCGGCACATTTCTAAGTATGAAGAGACTGATGGATACTTTCTAATAAAGAATTAACTAGAGCAATTAGAAACGATTTTCTAGGTAATCTAACAAAATCTATTGAACTTTATACTGAAAACAATTCGGTCATTTTTTTTTATTCATACACTCCAATGATAGAAAAATGATTTTTGTAGAAAGAGATAAAAGGAAAATAAATCACTGTTATTCAACAACTGTGGATGCAGGCTTTCTCCTACTCAAAACATTTATAACGAGATAATGGTCTAAGAATTGAAGGTACCAACTTAATTCAGATATTTAACTATTTCGACACATTATGAATACAAATGTCATGTCATGTATGCTATGGAAAATCGAGAATATTGACATGAAGAGAGAATAAACACGTGTCAAAAAAACACAACGTGGAATAGTAAGATAAGCATCGCCAAAAACTAAATAACAATATATATATATATATATATATATATGTAATGTTTAGATGAAAAAAGAATCTTAAAAATTGTACAACGTAGTAAGACCTTCTTTTTCTTTTCTTGTCTTCTCCTTCTTCAACATATGTGCAAAATTTACTTTATGTCCTACTAGAAGAAAGAAAGAAAACATTAAACTCGCTGTGTTAACTCTTCTTTTTTCTCGTGACGATAAAACTTTGTCTCTTCGATTATTTTTTTTAATTCGAAAGACTGGAATGAATAAAAAGAGACATTTACGATATTTTATTGCAAAACACTGCAAAAAAAAGAAAGTACTTTGTCCAATAGTATAATTTATAAAGTCTTATATTCATCTGTTGAAAATTTTAATACAAAAATCAATCAAGAAATTTATACTAATTTTACTGTTAAAATTAAAATGAAAGTAATTAGTCGTTTTCTTTCGAATTGTGAGACATATCAAGATATTCCAACGGAAAAACGAAAAATTTGTAAAAAAATTTTGATTTTTAGACAAACTTATAATCCCATCTTATGACAAAAAATTTTCGGGCAAATTATGTTGCCAAATTAGAACAAGAACATAACCAATTTATTATTACTCTCTGAATAAGAATTAGAAGACTGTAATTTCTATTTTAAGTTAGAAATCTCACATCATCCTTGTATGTCTTGATGTAAGACTTTTCATACGAACTGTCGAAAAAAACTTCGGAGCTAAAAATTTTAGAAATTGATTTTTTTGACTTATCTGAATCCAGTTTTGATTTTAAATTTTCTTTTCTTAAAATTCCTCTTTAGTAGAGAAATGCAAGATATTTTATTGTTTTCGTGTACATGGAGAAAAAATAACCTACCCTAATCCTGATGTTGATATAATTCCAGTTGTACGAAAGAAATTTCTAAACCATGATGATGAATCATTCTCATGCGAACGTGTTCTTGGCGATGATGGTAAAATAGTTCCAAATAGATCTAATAACCAAGATCGTTCATTATTATTGTTTTTTTGTGATGATGTCTTTTCTGTCATAATATTATTTAAAGTCGTTTATATTTGACGCTCTTTTTTTTGCTTTTTTTTCTCTCTCACAACATAATCAGTAGTTTACATATTTATTTATTTCATGCTTTTTCATTCATTCATTCATTCATTCACATTAACTTGCACTTTGTTTCTGTCTTTTTCGTCTGACTTTCTGCTTTCAATTTTAGATTATAATTTGTGTTCTTCACAGCCACAAGGTGAGTAAGTCATTTGACTTACTAAACGTTAGAAAGGTGACGTTATGTACACAAACATCATCGTCATTTAAAAGTGCAAGTTAAAATTGTTAAGTGGCAGCAATCTAATGAATATTAGATCGCGTACAATATGGCTGGGTATCTGTATGTCACATTTTAATAAATGTTATGTACTGAAAATTTATGGAACAACATATAAATCAAGGTTGTGCTAACAAACATCCATCCACTATTATCGTGCAAGATGATCAAATTAGAGCAAAACAATACAATTCAATTGAAACTATTGTTACAGTCGCTTTAGAAATCAAAAACAATTATCATTTTAATGAGTATGGAATACCACTTTAATGTCACAGATAAACAACAATATTTTACTATGCGAGCATAGCGTATGTCACCTTATTGTTCCACTGTATCATGTCAACAGAATTCTCGATATGGATGGCTGACAGTTACAGTTCGTATAATTGCAGAAATTATTTAACACTATTAAATAGTGTGTACAGAAGCCATTTAGGAGAGTCGAACTTGGCTTCTGCGAAACCTTAGAACTACTGCTCAAGAGGAATTTTATCACCTGAATATTTTCTCGAAGCCTGGTGGAAATCGTATTTACTATGTTTTATCGTTCCATTTCACAGTTAATCACACTTATTATATCACACTCGAAAGCTCTTTTTCTCAACAACATTTCAATATATAAAACATTGAAGACTGATTGTGTTTGAGGAGAGAAAAAAACAAAATAGCATTGACTACTGTATGAGATGCGTGATCTATTCTCCATACCTGCAATTTTATGGTTATTGTTTTTCTTTACGACACTCCACCAAATATACCATCTGATGGAGCATTTCACAGGCTACCATCTGATATACAGACATTTGCAAAAATAAGTGTATAGTGTAGGCGGCGAATGAAAATTAGCGCTTCCACAACGATATTCATCAAATTTGGGTTTCTACGCGTACTGGAATGGCGATCTACGGCAGAATAGACAGCTGACAACGTAGAAAAAGAGAAGATTCTTTTCATATATCCACACCATGCAGGTGTAAGAGATACGGGGGAAAAGGGAGAGATATAGTATGTAGCATCTTGGAAGAATGAAGTACTAAATAGTTTGCTAACAGTATTTATTTTAGGTGCAAGAGGATGAAAAGACGCCAATGAATCTTTTGTTCGACTCTTGTTATTATCATTATCGTCTTCGCTATCGCCGTCCCCGAACGATGGTAGACACAACGACGATCTATCTCATCTTGAGATGTACGCACGCGACAGTATACAAGTTAAAGATTTTGAAAGTAAGGACGATAATGATAATAATAACAGTCGAACAAAAGATTCAGTGGTGTTCACTATTTGATGGAGTGGCTTAAAGAAAAAACAATAACCATAAAATTGCAGGTATGGAGAATAGATCACGCATCTCATACAGTAGTCAATGCTATTTTGTTTTTTTCTCTCCTCAAACACAATCAGTCTTCAATGTTTTATATATTGAAATGTTGTTGAGAAAAAGAGCTTTCGAGTGTGATATAATAAGTGTGATTAACTGTGAAATGGAACGATAAAACATAGTAAATACGATTTCCACCAGGCTTCGAGAAAATATTCAGGTGATAAAATTCCTCTTGAGCAGTAGTTCTAAGGTTTCGCATGCCAAGTTCGACTCCTCTACTCACATTATACATACTCTATGAATAAAATTCAATTCGGTTAACGGGACGATTTCATTACAAAATGACTCCCTTTCTTTCATAGTTGGAATGAAGAATGAAGAATCATGGAGGTAAAAACAATATGCGTACAGCAACACTTACTCGTTTGTTTATTCTACTTTTGATCTAATATTGATAAATTATTCAGTATGTTTGTTGTTCAAATGTTTTATAAGTTCAATTGGATATAAAACAAGGATGTCAGTGTTGTGAATAGAATAGATTAAGTATTTATTATTTATATACTGTTTTTCAATCGACAAAACCGTTTTGGTGCCCTACAAATGATCAAAGTAGAATAATAAGCCGTTTTAATCAAATCTATGTTACGCACTTGCAATAGTTCATCTTATTTCATTCAGACTAATTGATTGACTACACGTTCTTAATTAACCAACAGCAACGTAAATTATAGTGCGAATAGAAGTATGGTAATAGAAAATAGTAAAACAGACGTGGACGAACTACTGCTTGTTTGTTTATTATTTACAAAATGTAACCAGGTACTTGTGACCAGGCGTTTAATGAAATAATAATAAAAAAGAGAAAAATGAATAATAAACGACAAACACAAACTATTGGTTCTGAAATAGAAAGAAAAATAAACAGTGTAAATACAAACACCAGACAATCAGGTCACAGAATTAACGGCATTGAAGCTTGCACTAATAAAGTCGTATGAAAAGTCGATATTTCCAGTTTTGAACTTCCTTGAAATAGCGAGTACTGTTACTGTTCAGTGATTAATAAATGGTATAGTTATATCAAATTCGTACAAGTCTCTTACGTAATTGTTGTATACTTGCATAAGTTCGATAAACTCTTCCACTTTAGATAATACAAGATTATGAACGTGTTCTGCTATGACACACGAAAATATTATAAAAAACAAACGAACAAAAAAATTTCTCATTTACTTTCAATAATTAGTAAAACACAAACTGCTGCCTCATACTCTTTGACAAATAATCCACATGCATTTCCGGCAAAACATAAACAATAAACAGAAGAATAAAAACACAAAAATATCACATCACTTTAATGGCGCGATATTATTTTTCTTGCCTCTGAATTAATCACCTTTTAATTTGCAATAATGATGTTCAAACAATCTTAAACTTGATTCGCATTCTTTCTCAAAAGTTATACCATCCTGACTGACAGCGAAATCAACCGATGTATAAAGATTTTTTTCTTAAATATTTCTCTTATTTTCATGTAAAATTCTTTAAACAATAGCCTTTCTTCGTTGTAAATGAGTATAGTTTCTACTCTTGCCTTCAAATTTACTAGAACTGTTTGATAGATAGTCAGGATGAAAACGTATCCTTTAATAATCATGACTTTAGTTTTATATAGCAGAACAATAGAACGAACTTCTCAGCTATAATAAAGCAGAGATCATTTACTTCAAAGACTGTAAGCTACAGCCTGATGACGAAAAATAACTCTTCAGCACTACCATAGATGGAGGAAAGTACAATATTTGTCTCGAGATCTTTTTAACTGTGATAATAACATGGTTAACTAAATATGCCTTTTACTTTTTTACTGCTTCTATTACCTATATTCAGTTTAACTCATTTTAGTCATTTTATAAAGTACAAGTTGCGAACAGACTAAGGGCGAGGAAGTAAAAGGCTAAAACACACTAAAATGTTTGAACGTATAACCGAAGTAAGAAAGTAAAACGAGAAGATAGCAGAATGTATATCCAGAAAGAGATGAAGTATAATTTTGAATGTTGAATTTTTAGAAATGTGAAACAGATATCGGATTACGTAAGCCAAAAAAAACTCGGAACAAATTCTAGACAATCTGCGAGTCGTCAACAGTATATACAAAAAGCTTCACGAGAGCTTAGAATACTTTTCTCTTACACCATGCGTTCTAGTAAGAAACGTGCATAAAAAAAAAATTGAGGTCATAGTGTTTAGTCACATTTTCTATTCTACCGTTTTCGAGAATAATTATCGACTGCAATTATAATCTTTAAAGTCTCTCCATTAGTATTCCTATTCATTTTCGCACATTGTTCACGCAGTATAACAGATAGAATTTGTCATCACAAAGCAAGAAGAAACAAATAAACTTTTCTTTAATCTTGGATCACCACAGATATGAAAAAAATATTTCTTTTTCATATGCCTATACGACTGACACATATAAATATTCATAAAGTAGAATTAAAATACACCAACAAAGCACTAGATTGGTTTGACACAATCAAGCAAAATATTCTTTGTTACACTAGTTCTTGAATGAAAGTATCTCGGTTTTGCAGCTTGAAAAATGCAGTGCATATTTTGTTCTAAATCAATTTTGTTGTAAGTAATAAAAAAAATGAGAAGTATCAAGTGCCTTTTTAGGATATAACGATTTGTTAAATTGCTCCTGGATACCAGTAGAGTTTCATTATACCCATCACATATATCTTGCAAGAGGGTAGTTTTAGTATAGGATCTCACTAAACTGGACAGCAATTCCACCCATACCACTGTGCTATATAAAGAAAGAGAGATGCTCAATTTGACTAGTTAAAATAAATAATGCCGCATGTGAAGAAATAAGCTGCACTGAATTTTTTAACCAACACTAGGTTGACTTCTGATGCTCATTATTCAATAAAAACTATGTAGATACTTCTCCTTTATATTCTCAAGTGATCTGTCAAGTAACAACTTCATTCTTTTTCAACACAGACCTCAATTAAAGAAAAATGTTTGTTTATGGAAGCGAATAAACAGCCTTTTTTTTTATTGTTTTTAACTTTTATTATTTTGAAAAAAAAATAGTTGACATTTACCTTAACGTAGTACCTCAACCTTAGGCAGAATTTCATGATTCATGCCGTTGTCATTGTGTTTGAAAGAAAATAGAAACAGGCAAACACAGCAAATATTTTACTAAAAGATATCAATTAAAACATATGCTTACATCACAGTGTAGAAAACGTTTCCAACTTCTGCAGATGGCACTAGAGACAAGATAGGTTGAATGCTACATGTCATACTAAATAGAGTAGATTCAGATATGACGGTGGCGAATAAGAAGAGGGAAA